GCAGCCCCGGGGCGCGGGCACAAAGGGCCCGCCGGCCACGACCGCGGCGGCCTCGGAGGCCGCCTCGCGCCCCCATCCGTCCGCCTCCGGGGACCCTCCAGCGGCGGCCAAGCCGCTGCTTCGCTGGGACGAGGTGCCCGACGACTTTGTGGAGTGCTTCATCCTGTCGGGCTACCGGCGGCTGCCGTGCACGGCGCAGGAGTGCCTGGCCTCGGTGCTGAAGCCGACCAACGAGACGCTCAACTTCTGGACGCACTTCATCCCGCTCCTGCTGTTCCTGAGCAAGTTCTGCCGCCTGTTCTTCCTGAGCGGCCGCGACGTGCCCTTCCACCACCCGTGGCTGCTGCCGCTGTGGTGCTACGCGTCGGGGGTGCTGCTGACCTTCGCCATGAGCTGCACGGCGCACGTGTTCAGCTGCCTGTCGCTGCGCCTGCGCGCCGCCTTCTTCTACCTGGACTACGCGTCCATCAGCTACTACGGCTTCGGCAGCACGGTGGCCTACTACTACTACCTGCTGCCGGGCCTGAGCTTGTTGGACGCCAGAGTGATGACCCCGTACGTGCAGCAGAGCCTGGGTTGGCACGTGGACTGCACGGGCCTCATCGCCGCCTACCGCGCGCTCGTGCTGCCCGTGGCCTTCGTGCTGGCCGTGGCCTGCACCGTGGCCTGCTGCAAGAGCCGCACCGACTGGTGCTCTTACCCGTTCGCGCTGCGCACCTTCGTCTTCATCATGCCGCTCAGCATGGCCTGCCCCATCATGCTCGAGAGCTGGCTTTTTGATCTGCGCGGCGAGAACCCCACGCTCTTCGTGCACTTCTACCGCCGCTACTTCTGGCTGGTGGTGGCCGCCTTCTTCAATGTGAGCAAGATCCCCGAGCGCATCCAGCCAGGCCTCTTTGACATCATCGGCCACAGCCACCAGCTCTTCCACATCTTCACTTTCCTTAGCATCTACGACCAGGTGTACTACGTGGAGGAGGGCCTACGCCAATTCCTCAAGGCGCCGCCGGCCGCGCCCACCTTCTCGGGCACCGTGGGCTACATGCTGCTCCTGGTCCTCTGTCTGGGGCTGGTCATCAAGAAGTTCCTAAACAGCTCCGAATTCTGCAGTAAAAAGTGAGCCTCCGCCTCGGAGGAGGCTGCTGGTTCGCCCACCTGTTTGTCTGGAGTTGCTGTTGTTGCTGTTGGTTTGTTTTCAAGTTTTGTTATGTTTCCTTCTTTGCTCGAGGAGGGTGCTGCAAAACCATAGGGGAAAAGTCCAATGAGACCCCCACAACTAAGGGGGTCTCAGTGCACTTGGGGCTTTGGAAGAGGGAGGTGGGTCTCGCAGGAGGGAGAGAGCCACTGTTTCTTGCCCCTGGAAAAAATTCAGGTAGAGCCTGTGACATCCAGGGATTTTTCAAAGGCAGCGAATATAATCCCAAATAAAACCCCAAACCAGTTCCATTTTCCAGTCATCTTCTGTGCCAGTGGTAATAGCAAGCAGCTCTTGTGAGGTCAGGTATGCAGTAAAGAGGGTAAGTAGACAAAGTCCCTGAGTACTTCCATTTCGTCTTAGGAATACTTGGATTTGTCAAAAGAATGGAGCTTTGTAGGAAATGGGCACAAAGACACAAACCCAGGGCTTAACCTGCTAGAAAATGCATGGAATGTGAACACAAGTTAATTATTTCAAAATGTTTCTCAGATGTTATTTAAATAGTAATATATACAATGATTTTTCATAATTTATCAAAGCCTGTGATAATGCACTGAATTTTCTTTGTCACGTAGTTTTGAATTTTGCAGCCTTTCTGCATTGCATACACTTGAACTGGACATCAGGGCAAGCTGCTTGAGGGTTCTCAACTACTTTTTTAAACAGTGTTTTCTGAAGGCCTATGTGTGTCATGATACAACTGTGAATTATTCTACCTTAGGGACTCTGGAGAAACTTGGTGAGGAGCTCAGTGGTTTGTATAGATCCCAGATTCCTATTTACTTTAATGTATTCCATCTTATTATTTTTTTGTTTGGGTTTTAATCTTATTCTCTCCTTCTCTACTTATTTAAATTGCCACTGGAATAAATGTGCCTTTTGAAGCAGTGCCCAAATGACTGGTCCTCAAACCTAGTTTCTTGCATGGGGAGAGCAGTAGGAGTAAGCTTTTCTTACTTGACTGCAAATCAAGGTTTAACATTCCACGCAGGAGGGAAGGAAGATGGTGTTGGTTGTCAGTTTTTGGTAGGACCGGAAGTAGCTTACCAGGACATGCAGAGCATTTGGCTTCTTTACCAGAAGTCACTAATGTGGCTGTTGTTCTGTATGCAGCCATTGGGGAAAGTGAGAGGACTCTGTTCTAGACTGATGCCATCTATCCTTGCTTAAAATTAAAAATATAATATTCAGGAATAAATGGGGTAATTATATTATGAAAGTCAGGAGCATGTTACTTGAGCTGTAACTGACAATTTTTAGTTAAATATGATTACCTTTGCCTGGCTAAACACTGAAGTCTCATTTGGATCCAGACTATAGAAATGAATGGTGGTCACCCTAAATCGTTGAAAAATTAGTGACCACACTCCTCAGATCCTTTCTAATAACCACATCAACTGGTGTTATTTAAGACATTTCTTATAAACGCTAACCTGTACTTGAGATGGCAACTCTAACACAAACGTTTGAGGTGGCTTATTTAAATACTTATAACACTTCCTGACAAGTCCTTTTGGTTAAGAGCCAAATAAGTCGTTGAATGGGGGGTCTTGACTTCATGGTATAATTTAGATCAAGCACATAAAGTCGATGAACACTTACCTCAGCACTGGTAGGCCAGCACTCCTAAAAAGATTGCTGTTTTTGTTTATGCTTTTAATCGCTATTATGTTTGTAAACAGAGAGGCTCAGCACAATTCCCTAGAGGAATCAGTATTCTTGTGCGTTAATTTGCACACAGAAGTTACCTTTATATATGTCTATATTTAATGTAGAACGTCTTAATGGGATTGTAAATACACTTTGCACGTTTGCTGGTGAGTGTCAGTGTCTCATCTTTTGCAAAGTGCAAGGAGATTCCTGTTAGGTCACAGACGCTGAGAATTTGTGCTTGCCACAGATGTTATTCCTCAGCTGTAACTTAATTCAGGACGTGTATTCAAGGACAATGGTGGAAATCAGGATATTTCCACATGCAAACTTATTTTCATGTCATTGTTGTCTCTTCTAGAGCCCCCAAGAATGGTGGTTTGGAAGCTAGAGAAGCAGGTGGAGGGGCATTTTGTAGCTTCCTTGTAAAATGGAAGCTCTCAGAAGGAACTTGCGGGAGTCAGACTTCTAAAAAGAGTTGATGAGTTTGAGAACAAGAAATAAACCCTGTATTTGTCATTTTAAATTTTTGTTGGAGATGTTCTGGGTCGACAAACAGAATTCTCTTCTTGCCCTGGGTCTTTGTCCTTAAGCAGAGGCCACTTAAGGATAAAATTATACCCATATCATTTTCAAGTGATTATGACGCATGAGCTCAGTCAGATGACACACTTTTTCCCTCAAAGGTTTCAGCACCCAGTGTGTCCCAGAGAAGAAGGACTCACTTCCCTTCCCTTTGCCTTTTCCTTCCTCCAGCTTTCCTCTCCCGTTCCATCTTAGTTATTATAAACCACATAGAACATTGACAAAAGGACATTCTAATTGAAAACAGTGGCTTGGCTTCACTTCTTGTTTGCAAATAGGTACCATCTACACTATATAAGACCAGGGATGATTTGTGAAACTATATATGTTATTTGCTAAATTATATCGGATGCTAAATTATATCAAGGTAAACGATGATATTTTAGGATCGGCAAGTATTTACTGAGTCCCCATTTGCATGGAACTATCCAGATGTATTACATATTTCAGGGGTAATATTGCAATCAGAATAAAATATCTGTTAAAATATTTTTTCCCACTCTCCATTTTGCCACATCCATAAAAAAATTCAGTTTTACTTTATTGTGTTCAGCTGTTTGAAATGTAGGACAAATGATAAATAGGAATGCACTCCATTATCTCTGTACAACCTATTTTGGCAGCAGAATTTTGAAGCATATTATGTAATGCGTTTTATTTTTACTTGTTAGTCATGATCTAGATGACATCTCAAGGAGCAGCATCATAGAGTCATGCCTGGGAAATGAGGGTGTTTGACTCTAGTGCCTGTCCCCCCGTGGGCTGGTCTCTGGCGGTGACTCAGGCTGAGTTAGTTGGCTAAAAGGGGTTCCTTTCTCCCCTGTCCTTGCAGCTGCACCCTCAGGTGAAGAGGATGACCTTCCCAGAGATGGGAAGTGAGTTCTTTGGTCACGTCATGACTGGCCTGTAAAAATAAACGTAGTCTTTTCCACTGGCCATACACTTTCTATAAATAGCCCAGGAAGAAAGTATGGGGCTTCGGAGGTGGCCAGAGTGGCCTTCACATGTTTCCATTCATAAATCCTGCCTGTAAGTGCTTGCAGTCAAAAGCCATTTAGCCTCATTCATCCTGCTTCTTAAGGGGAATCATTTCCAAGAATGCAAAATTTTGGGGTGGAGGTGATTTTTATAATATTTTCTAATTTGGTGCTGAATCTGAGGGCAAACAGCGATAATAAACAGAGATATTTTTGTTCAGATCTCTTCATACCTTTAATTAGTTAATCTGCACAAAGCTATCGTAGGAGACAGGAACAGTAGGAATTATCTCCATTTCAAGGTTATACCATTGGTCCGAGGCAACAATTAAGTTTTCAAAATGGCATTAGAATGTGGGGATGGCTGTGTGCTCAATTGTGAGCGTTTACTAGTTTGCACAGCCATGGTGCCTGGCCAAGCACACAGACACTACTTGTCCTTTAATTGACCACGTTATAATTGTAAAATAGAGCGAAGTAAGGCATGGCTATCCTTGAATTTAAATTATAAAATCTTAAAATGTTATCAGCTGCTTAAATAGTTTGTACCCACTTGGGCTGTTCTTCATCTGTTGATGTCTGCCACTGCTGACTTCTTTCTGTCAGTGTCCTGGGAGTTGATTTGCACTCATTCATGTAACCCCTTTAGTGACCATTGAGCACTCACTTCGTGTAAGACCCTGGGCAAGAACCCATCCATATTATGACTGCCATTACCCTTTTGTCTGCTGGTGGAACAGAGGTAGGAGCTCGGGAAAGGCCCTCTGGCCAGGGCCCAAGCTCTGACCTTGGCCGCAAGCGGAAGTAAGCGGAATGTCCTAAGCCACTGAGTTTGGTTCTTTCCTCCTTTCTATTAGCATGAGAGCAATGCATAGAATCTGATTTCAATTAACATGCTAACTTACCCACAATCAATTTCTCTCTTTTTTTTTTTTTCTGTCTGCTCCTAGGCCTATGTGAATTTTATGGTTAAAAATAACTAGAAAATTTAATGTACAATCGAGGTGAAGGGGTAACAGGCATATGTACATAGGAAGAGTTTAAAAATTTATCATCACTACTAATTAATAAAGACACTAATAACGATCACTTTGGGAAGGTTGATAGTAATCATATCATTATGAAGCAAGGTTCACCCAAAGTGCCTGCACTGTGATGTCATGAAGTGTCTGAATTTCATAGATTGCATATTTAAGTTGTTAAAAATGTGAGCTTAAATGCTTAAATCTCCAAAGATTCACTAACGTTCTTTAGCCTTTTTCCTCTTTTAAGGTCTGTGTGTTGTAACCTATGAAACGTGTCTTAGAAAAAAATTAATCAGGAGGAAATTATAAAGAAAAAGTATCAGATGTAAAAAAGGTAGGAAGAAGGCACAAGAAGGGGAGAATGAGGAGGATTAGATTCAAACAGCCAGAATGGGACAGCAAGTCCAACTCTGGACAGTTTTGCCCGAGTTTTAAATTTTGTCCCTAGAAAAGCGTGTGAACTCCCGCGACCTTAGGGTTCAAACATGCAGGCGAGGAATTCTATCTGGCAACCTAACCACATCCTGTAGCTTTTGACCTGAGCACCAGTGCCCAGGTATATTCTAAGTAGTACAGTTACCCCTGGCTTGATGTCCTTAATTTGTTTCCATAAAATTAGGGCATAAGGCCAAAAGGCATTGGGGGATAGCACCACTCGATTGTAAATCACCTTTGGAATCATTTTCTTGAAGGATTGCCAGTATCCTCTGACATATATCGCCTGACAAAAATCGAACAAGCCTAGACAAACTGGAAAAGGGAGCCTTCGTTCGTTGGTAAAGCTGAGCACCACTATGTTCTGTCTCGATAGGTCACACGCCTTCCTAGTGAAGATTTTATTCTTTCTTCAATATTATGAATAATTTTTTCTTAATTGTGAAAATTGGTGTCAGTTCTTAGTCACCGTTCCAAAAATCTAATACAAGTTTTTGTTGTTGTTAAAAAAGGATAAGTGTATTGTGTTTCCGGGTCACAGATTTCTAACCAATTTGTAGGCTTTTTTGTTTTAGAACAGCTTCTTGAAAGTCTGTGAGCAAGTTGCAGAATTAGAGTGTTTACTTATAGGTCAAGGGCCAAGAGTGCTCATGGGCTGCTAATTGTGGTGGGATGTGACTTTTGAAAGCTCTGAAAACACACCTATATGCAACAAAATGTTCACTTATTTACTATTTAACTCAATGGAAAAATAGCCTTTTGTTTGAGCTTTTGAAAGTGTTCTCCAATGTACTGTACTTCTAAATGTAATGCATGATCTTTAATACTTTTTGTTCTTGAACAGTCTCTGAAAGCTATTCCAGACATGGCATTTCTCAAGGAAAATTTCTTGAATGTGCAAAATTATTCTGGAATGTGTAAAAGTGGCAGGCCACCTTTCTCGTGCCTTACAGCTCCACCTAAAATATGCAATAAGCCCTCAAGGAGGAGTGGAGGGGTCTTCAGGTGGTTAGGTAACCATGCTGTGGAAATGGCCCTGCTCCTCCTGGCTCACCACAACACTGAGAAAGGACGCCCTGTAAATAAACCCTTGTTTCTAGATGAACAGAGTTACGAGAACACGTTAATTTCATTTCTTTTTTAGTTCCATCTCTAGTTAGAAAGCATAATCTGTTTTTAACATGCTGGATGCAAAAAAGAAAATTAATAGGAAAA